CATCTATCGATAAATATAGTCATCTATCCATAGATGTTCTTCAAGGTAGCTTTAAGAAAACCTTTCTACGTTGCATTTATCGATAGATGAAGAATATCTATTGATAGATAGGCTCTAGTCAACAAAAATAAACTTTAGAAACATGTCCAATTAGACTCCTTTTAATACTAAACTTATCAAATCATCTTAATGCATCAAAACATGAATTTTTCGAAGATTAAAACTTATTTTGAATGTTCAAAACACAAAATCATCATGCTCAACTAATGATTTCTTAACTTAACATTTACATTAAGGTGAGATTTCGCATTTTTACTTTAAGCTTATTTTTTCTAACAGAAACTCTCAAACATTTCTTGATGTCCATGATGTAATGTTGAAATGGAGAATATATTGTATGTTTTAAGGGACTACTTTAACTTTCATGCCATTTGGAGAAATTGGATTCATGGTGATCACCTTTATCAATGTAATGGTCTTTTCTTTGCATGGATGGCTCCTTTATAATTTTAATAAGAAGGATGTTCTTATGAAAGCTAACATTCCATGGATCACCCTCTTTGGTTTTTCTTGTTGGCATATCTAGAAACTTAAAAATAAGTGTCTATTCGAGGAGGGATATCAATGGCCTTCTAACACTAGTCTTACTATAATTGCTACTATAAAGGGTTTTATGAAGTTTCAAGTAGGCCCTCATTCTTCCCTTCATTGATAGTTGTGCCTTATTGCTTATCAACCATGTTAAGCTAAATGTCGATGCAACTACTACGTTTAATCTAGAAGAACTTAGCATGGTAGGTTTATGCCAAGATAATTGTGGATATTGGATCTTTGGGTTCATGGGCTAACTTGGTATAGGCACTATTCCCAAAGTTAAATTACATGCTGTTCATATAAGTCTTAAACTAGCTTGGGATCGTGACTATCAACAGATTGTGGTTGAGTCGAACTCCAAACTTGCTATCCAGAAGATTCACTAAACAATTTAGAATGAAGACCCTTTTTCACCAATTATTCACTATATTTAGCTATTAATGATGAAAGATTGGGTATGATGGGTACATCATATTTATAGGGAAGCAAATTTCTATGTTGATTTTCTTACTAAGAAGGCTCAATTGGGACAATTGAAAGTTATTAAGCTACAATGTCCACCAATTGGGCTATCTCGTATGCTTAAAAATGATTTAGTTGGTGTTGGTAAGCTTAGAGCTATGGTATATTAAGCAGTTTTTCGCTCCCATGTACCAAAAAAAAAAACTATTAACAACCTTAGTACAAATAAGAACATAATAGAGATAATAAATATAACTTATAAGTTATTATTTGAGATATTTGCTTTTAGTTATTCAAGTTGTTGTTTGAGATATTAGTTTTTGGTTTTAAATTTTAATTTTATTATTTGTTTGTTTTTAGAAATTTAATTATTAATAAATTATATGGATGTGAAATATAATTTATTATTGTACATGGATACGAATACGGATTCAAATTTAGGTAAATGGGTACCCATGAAAAATTAATAATTTTTTTTATATAATTGGGTTTTTAAACGGGTTCAAGTAATTACTGACTAGTAAGTATGGTATTAAGGTTCGCGTTTGGACAGTAAATATTAAAAGTATTCAAGTAGTTACAGAGTTTGAGTACTTTACTTATTAATAGGGGTTAACTTTGAAACTTTAAAATTAACGAGTACTCTACTCGTTAACATTTTTAATTTTTAGGAAAAGAGAGAAAATTTAGTTGAAAGTGAAAGAGAAAGCAAAAAGTAGACAAGAATATATCTATTAAAATTTACAATATTTTTAAATTTATTAATTAAGAAAGTGTGTCATGGGATCATTACTCTCTCCCTCATAAACGCGCTTATGGAGGTGTGCAGCACATCCGTTTATAAGAAGTCCAAGACCTCCCATTCCTATCTGATGTGAGATAAATACATTTTCCTCGTGACACTCTCTCCAACCCGATTCCGGCAACGTCTTCGTTGCCGTCGGTCACCCTGCCTATCTTAAGCTCGGGCGTTTGGCGTGAGTCAGACGACGTTCGGTCCGCTCTTATACCACTTGTCACGGGGTCATTACTTTCTCCCTCATAAACGCACTTATGGTAGTGTGCAGCACACCCGTTTATAAAGAGCTCAAGATCTCATGTTTCTGTCTGATGTGAGATAGAGACACTTTCTTCATGACAAATGTCCTTCAATGATTAATTAATAATGAATTTTTTCTAAAAAGAAAAAATATATTAATTTTTTATCATTTATTTATTTTACTTTAAAATTGAGTTTGAAACTTTTAAAATTAGGTGAAACAAAAACCTTTAGCACCTAACTTTGTTTTTCAAGCCAAAATTACATTTACTAAAGGCATCTGAAGACTGATGTGATATGCTTGTATGGTTGAGTCAAAAAGAACTCTGTGACCAAATATGCAAAAAATGGTGTATTACAGACTACAAAGAGCGGAGAGGAAACCCAGATATGAAAAACTAAAAGCAAGAACCACACGAGTAAAAGAACTGCACACGTCAAGGAAGGGAATCCATGATGATGAACATCATGAGCCATAATACACATACCCACCATCATTTCCCACCAAAATAAATAAATAAAAGAAAAGAAATTGTGTTCCCTAGACCAGCTGTTATGATTACCCACCGCCATCCCATGCCCTTGGTTTTGACAAACCTAATCATTATCATTTCTAAATCCCTCCCCTATTTCCTTAACTTTACCCTCTCTGCATCATCATGACTTCCCCCTTTCCAATATCATGAGCTTATCCCCCTCAATTTCACACTCCCAAGTCTTCCTCTTTTTCTTCCTTGCGTATTACTTCTTAGAAGGCTTGACGAAAATAATTGATAAGAAAAATCGACAATGGAGGCCAATTATAGTTTTCGGTTTGAATATTAACAATAATTATTGGATTTGTTTCCATTTTTATTTATAAATACAAAAATCAAAATTATCCAAACTGATTAATTTTTATTTTATATTTAAAGGTAAATTTTTAAATTTTAAGTAAATAAATTAAAGATAATATAAAAAAAGTTAAAAATCTTCAATTTTTTAGAGGAACTTTGCAATCCAAATCATTAAAATTCAAAAATTCAATTCAATTTGAGGAAAATTCAACATACTGTAAATTAATTAAAAAATTTATTAAAACTGAATCGAGTTGAATGGGAGGCAGTCTTACTTATTAGAATATCAAAGAAACTCAGACCTCTCAAAGAAAAAGAAAAAGGAAAAAGAACCATAACTTAGAGAGAAAATTAAATTTACATAATAGATTTTTTAATTCAAATAATATTTTAATTTGAGAGAAGAGAAGATTGATTCTTGCTTCTGAGTGTTATTTATATTATGTGCGATAATTGGTCAGTTTAAGTTGAAGTAGTTTTCGCTAATAATATAAGTAAAGATGAAATGTGAAGTTTAGGTAAGGAATTAAGGGAAGCAAATGTTTTGAACGTTCAAGTCCTACGTTGAAGCAAGCCTGGGGCGTATAGGATCGGGGTTGTTGATGCATCATTCGCCGCATGACTTCGGGGCTGAGGTTTTCATCAATTATGACAGTGAACCCACAACTGTTTCTATTTCTTATAGGTAAACACGGAAACGGGGAATCCACCAAACCAATTTACAATGAGTTTTAATTCCAGTTGGCACTTTCTCCATGATTATTACTAGCTCCACCACCAAACCATCCTTAATCTTTGTTTTTCTTTTCATTGATTTCCTTTATATGCCACGTGGCAGTATGTTTAATCTTGATATATATATATATATATATATATATTTATTGATATATTTATTGATGGTGAAGTCGCTGCTTGCTCTCATTTCAATTAATAGGTTGTTTTATTCATTCCTTTTCATCTCCCACTTGATTTTCCCTTTTAGCCCATTTTAATTCTGTTTTAAATGCGGAAACGCTTTTCTTGGAAAATACTTTTCCATACTCCATCGATTATTATATTTTTCCAAGGAAAGGTACAACACATGCACCATAAAAAGCAAAACATTCAACAAAGTTTTCATGTTGTGTTGAGTAGAAAAAGAAAAAAAAAATTTATTAATTTGTTATCATATTCATCATTCCATTACTTTTTGTAAGGACATATCTAATAGTAGGAAATTACAGATCCTATTTATTCCATTTTCATACGTTTATGTAATTTCATTTGTTGGGTTAATGGTGTACTAATAAGCATTGATTTGTTTAATGTTATGTCTTAGCTTAGCATAAAAAATAAAAAGTGAACTTTGACTAAAGGAAAGTGGAGAAAGAAGGAGAAATATGTCATTTGAAAGGGAAGGAAGGAGAAGGGCATCATCGAGTTCGAGTAGGTACTTCCGTAAATCAAACAAAATCATCATAATATGGAAAAAGTGGTGGGGACAATCATGCCGTGTGCGTGGAACGAAGAATGAGTGAGAGAAAGTGTCGGGGAGGAGATCTTATCTCGGCCGTTGATCTTCTTTCTGTAAAGGCCA